TTGTCTAGAATATCTAATAAGAAACACAAACACTAGACAAATAACATTAGAAATTGTTTGTAATCATTAAAATAAGATTAGAAGATGTAGGCTCATAACATGAGACCTAACAACTGCTTCACGAAAATCGATCTATCGTTCAAGTGGTGGTGGTTTGAGGTGAAGAAAAAAAATTGTGTTCAAATAACAGAAGATTAGGAGTGCTACTGGCATCTTGACGAGCGCGTAGATGGAGTTGAATTTTTTGCACTTTGCGATTACTAGGAAACGACCGAAATTCAAGTATTATTGAAGTATATATTTTCATTTATTGTTTGAATTTCTATATTGTATCTATTTGATATTGTTTTGCAGGGTCAAGCTGAAACAATAAGGAGAAACTGCAATGCGCCCCACAGTTACAAGCATCACGGGGGCTCCAGGTCCTTCAGCCAGCATTATCATCAATTGGCGCTTGAGGTATATAATATATTAGCTTTTAGGTTGTCAATTTAAGTATAATTTATGTGTTATAGGTTAATTATATATTTGAATAAAATAGGAAAGGGGAGATCTCGGGCATTTTGCAGATCGTATTCTGACTTTCTAAGGCCCAAATTATGCCGATGAAGAGAAGAAAGCGAAGAACCAGGATCTGTCCGTAAGTATCAGTTCATTTGTATATTCAATTTTTATAACAATGCATTATTAATATGTCGACTTGAATGGGTTGTTTTGGTATATCATGGGAGAAATTACATGCTAAGGTGCAGAAGCAATTATCCTAGACTCAGGTCGATTCTAACACTCCGACCCAACTAAGTAGAGAGGAGGAGGACTGCATCATCGAGACGGTCATTGGACTGAGTAGGAAGAACAGATACCGGTGGAAAGGATCCGAGCATCGGCCACACGAGTCCAGTAGCACCTATGAGTCTGCAGCACCACCAGGATGCAGTTCTTCTCAAGACCCGACGATGGAGCAGTGGATGAAAGCGATGGAAGATTGGCAGTCGCATCGTGAGTTAGAGATACTCCGGATGGCGGAGGAAGAACGGAGGTGCTAGGAGCAGAGGAAACTAGAATTCGCCCAGTTCATATCGACTCTGCCTTCTGATTCTCAGGAGGCATATAAGAGACGGTTTATGGTGGATCAGGTAATATATATATTTTACTTTTTTTAATTAAACGAATTAAATATAAAATTCTTACTTAGTTATAAGTATGCCATGTGACTAAATGATATCACACACACCGATGCATACTGATACAAACTGTTACACACAAACCCTAACTCTCTCCGAAACACAAAACCAAAAATATATACTTAATATTTTTATGTGATGGTGGTGTTGATGGTGCGTGCGTGCATAGCGATGGTGGTATTGGTTGGTGAGTTGGTTAGTTAGTTGTTATTTTATTTTGTTGTGGTGCGTTCGTGCGTAGGGTCGTTGGTTATGTTATTGGTTGGTGGGTGTTTTCGCCATGGTGGGGAAGGGAAAGGAGTGGGCATCTGAAGTGGTGGTGGTGGTGATGGTAGGGGGAGGGGGTGGGGGAAGAGTTTGGTTGTTGGTGGGATGGGGTTGGGGGATTATGGTGGTGGTGTTGTTATTGTTGTGTTGTGGTGTTGTGTTGTGTTGTCATGATCGTTATGTGATTGGTTGGTGTCAGGTTTGGTCGTGGTGGGGGAGGGGGAGGTGTGGGGATTGGATGGAGCTGGGTACGCGTGCGTGCGTGTGTGCGTGTTGGTGGAGCTGGGTATGCTTGCGTGCGTGTGTGCGGGTGGGGTTAGGGTGTGTGCGTGCGTTGTTAAAAACATGTGCATGCGTTGTTAAAAACATGTGCATGCTTGCGTATAATACATAAAAATATGCCATGATACTCTCTCCGAAACATATAACATGTAAGAATATGTCATAATACTCTCTTATTGCTATACTTGCATGTCATGCCATGTTGTTTTATAATTTGTTACTTTACTGCAAAATTTAGTTTTTGATGATATACGTATTGCTCTATAACTCTTGTTAACGTTTGATTTATATTTTCAGTTCGGGACTTCTCGACAAGGTGGAGCTGGTGATGAGGATGATGATGATCGGGACTGATTTGTTTTGTTTTAACTTTGAAAACAATGAGTGTGCTGTATAAATAATATTTATAATGTTGGGATATTTATTTTGTTTTTAGTGAAATATGTGTTATATATGCGTGAGAATGAAATATGTGTTATATGCGGTTGTGCTGTGTAAATTTATTGTATAGGTTTTATTGTGAAATATATTGTATATGTTTTTTAAATTTCCAAAATATTTTTTAAAAAAATACTGCTATTTTTTAGCAATGGATTTTCCGTCGTTGAAAATACTTTTGGTGACGAAAAACGGATACGGATAACAAAAACTAACACGCACTTTTGGCGACGGATTATCCAACGCTAAAAGTTATAGCGACGGATTTTGCCGTCACAAAAACTCTAACAAAATCGAAGGATTTTCCATCACTAAATTTCCATCGCTGAAATTTAGCAACGGAAAATCCGTCGCAAAAACCAACTTTAGCTACCCTCACTGTAGTGACGGACTTTTAGCGACGGAATTAATATTTTTCCGTCGCTAAAACTTTTAGCGATGGATATTCGGCTTTTGGCAACGGATTTGTCCGTCGCCAAAAGTCCATTATGCAGTAGTGCAAACATACCCATTTCTCTCTCTCTCTCTCTCTCTCTCTCTCTCTCTCTCTACACACACACACTAGTATGCGGTACATACGTTACACGTGATGCGTGTTATAATTATTCATGCAGACATGATTGTTTTATGTTTTAAATTTGACTATAAAAGAATTGATATACAGATAACATGGAAAATGAGAAAACTCATAGAAAAAATGAATATAATAATTAATAATTATTCTAATTTTTATACATAATAATTCTAGATAATATTTTGGTTCAAAATATTTCAAGTACAAAGGTTTGACATATGATTGAGCATTAAGGTGAAAAGTGTGTACTTATGCAAAAGGATAAAAGAGATGAAAGGAACTTCTTTTCTTTTAGAATTTGCTTCTTATGATCGAAGATTGCATCAATCAATTTTCTTTCACAACTATTCACATTGTCACATGAACATTTTCATTCGATATACGTATGAAATTATCAACTATTATAGGCTCTTTTCATACCTACTCGAAGTCCGAACTCTCCGAGAGATTTCAATGCAAGTATATTCATATAAAGATTAAAAAGAAATTTTTTTATTTTCCCCTAAATATGATTTCATAAGACTATTGCAATGATTATTTTTGTTCTTTAGAGCAAGTAGTTACAAAAAAACTTGAAAGAATTCTCGTCTAATGAACTATCATTCCTCTAAAAATTCTTTGATCACCCAAACTATATTTTAATATTCTTTCGACGGTTTGAATTGTAAATCTTTTATCATATGTGCTTTATCTTATAGCATTTGTATGAACCTTGAGATTCCATCTTGTCAACAAATGATTATGATAAACTTGGGTAGGGATATTTTCTTAATATAATATTTATAACATTATATTATAATACATTACTACAATATGTTATTATTACCAATATATATATAACAAAAAATAAATTATTATAATATATTATATAATAGAAATATTATAATATTTATATAATAAGTATTACAAATATTATACTTTTAGGATACTTCCTATTATTTCCTTGTCCAAACGGTGCAATGCATGAAACTTTGTATTATATTAATGTTATTATATCCTTAATATCTTTACAAATTCTCGTATGAAGAATCAATGTATACAAATAGAGAATTCTAGTAAATAACCAAACAATCAAACACTATGAAACCGTATGAGAATTAGATTAGATTAAGTATAGAATTTATCAAAATTTAAGAGGATAAAAGAGGCGATCAAAAGTTTGACATCCCAATTTTCTTTTATAAGTAATATAGATAATGTACGATATCGCATGTTAGAAAAGGTATGATGTTGATGTTATTTAAAATAATGTTTCAATGTGTCCATGTTGATGAACTTATAGTTTTCATTAAGATCTTGTTAATTAAACAAATGAACACATATGATGCACAATATTTTATTAAAATAAATAATAATTGTACTTGTAGATTTAATTTGATATCTCTTTACTTATAAGAAATTTAGTGATTTCTTTCTACAATATTATTTTCTTAGTCGACTATCTAAGTTCTAACAAGGTGATAAAATGAAAATAAGTTACTGTTTAGTTAAAAAACTACCAATGAAATCAAAGTCTTTTATATTAAATAACAATTCATTAATATTTTGTATATCCCACAGAACAAACAACCTACATCAAATCAATAATAAATTTCAATTGTCATAGCAGTAGTAGCATTCACAGGACGAGTAGTAGCCTTTGGCTCTGTATCTTAGCACCGTAAAACCCACAAAAAATGTCGTAAAACCCATAAAGTTCACCATCGTCTTCAGCCATAAATCTTATGGAGTGGAGCATTGACATCGTATTGGTGCATGATAGCCCGAACAATCCAACAACAGTATATGTCAAGGTGTAACTCGTTGGTGAAAACGAGGAAGATGATATCGTAAAAGCACAATGGACATTGCTAGTAGAAAATGTGATTTTACCTACGGAAAAATAGCGACGGAATTTGCCGTCGCTATAGGTTGATTTATAGCGACGGAATTAGCCGTCGCTATTTATCCGTCGCTAATAAAGTTATAGCGACGGATTATCACATTTTAGCGACGGAATTTTTTCGTCGCTAAAATTTTTTACGACGAAATTTTTTTTCGTCGCTAGATTATTTTTAGCGACGGAATTTCCGTCGCTAAATATTTTTTAGCGACGGAAATTCCTCTCGACGCCGTGATTTGTCCCGACGCCTCTTGCTCCTCCCGTGAAACCCACCCTCGCCTCCTCCTCCTCCCGCCTCCCGTTGTCTACGCCTCTTCCTCCCTCCTCCTCCCGCCTCCCGCAGTCGACGCCGGCATCGACGCCAATTTCTCAAAAAAAACTTCGGAAGGTAAGAGTATATGTTTATCTGTGTTTAGTTTTCTCAAAAAAAAAAGCAAGTAATTATCAGTGTTTATTATAATTTTTAGTAGGAATATTGTGATTGTTTTGGTGGCAGGTTGTTACAGTTGGTGTAGTTGGAGGATCTGATCTTGTTAAGATATCAGAACAGCTAGGAAAATCAGGTATGTGTTTTTTTTTATTCGGAAAAAAAAACTATAATATGGGAGTATTACCTAATGCATATTACTTCTCTGTTTCAATTTGACATTGTTTGCATGAGAGAGGAACCAGAAAAACAAATATAATTTTATTTAACAAGTCATGGGGTTATATAATCGGTACAGTCTTTCTAATTGGGTGGAGGGACCTCGTGTGATGTGCATGTTTTTGTTTAATAATATGCTGTATTTTTTTTCCTTTCGTTATTCAGGTTAGAACATGATAAAAATGATTTCTTTGCAGTGATCACAGACTACGATTATGTATTTGCCGAAAATGGTCTTGTTGCTTACAAGAATGACTTAGAAATTGTTTCATGAGTACAGAAATACTATTGAAATTTGATGTTTGGTTTACACACAAATGGAGATTTTGTCTGAACAAGATATTAGGATGTTCTTATGTTGGTAGCTGCTAATTTCCAAAAAATTATGAGATAGGAGAAGAGAACTGTTTATTGCGCATGTACGTATATGACGATAACACAGGTTGTTTTAAAGGTTAATTAGGTTTACTAATTATGAAATTAGAGAGTAAATTACGGCGTAAAAACACATGGCAGGTAAGCAAAGCTGAACCAATAGAAGTGGAAGTGGGGCTCACACTTCTCTGTGAGAGATATGAGTTGACTAAAAAGGGAATACAAATGAATGTCCCGTTGATGGGCAGCTAGCCTTATTTTCCTACTTGCCTCTTTTTTTTTTGCCAAGGCTGCTGTATATAATTAGAGTTTAATTTTTTTCCCCCTTCGAATGAGATGAAGAAAATCATCTCAGAAATGGACTGATTATTGGCTATTTTAGCAAAGCTACAAGATTTGACGATTTACCGAATACTATAACGTAACTTCTGTACTTGATGTACTTGATGAATCCTCTTCTAATACCTACTAATAAGAAGATCTTGGCCTTTGATTTATCAATCAAAGGCCAGTATCTAGGCCTTATCTCCCGCCTACTTTTGTGCATGAGGAGATCTTGGCCTTTGATTGATAAATCAAAGGCCAAGATCTCATTAGGAGATATTAGGAACCCTCTCATTAGGAGAGGATCCGTATCCGATTAAGTACAGCGGGTAGGTGCTGCCGAAATTTTGACGAAATAAAAGTACACTTGAACACACGTAAATACATATACACGCTACGTTTACATACCTAATGGGATAGAAGCCTTCCTCTGACAGTCGATCACACACACTTGTCCTATAACTTAAAATGATATATGTAGGGATATGCTCACTTTCATTAATTTTTAAATTCTAGATGCGGACAATTCCTGACAAATCGTTCATGGGCATACCACGTGATCGAAGGCATCTAGACACTCGATACAAGGATGGGATAGAAGCTTTCTTAGCCTACTCTGACACCAACCCTCTACGGTCACTCAGCGGGTTGATTTTTTGTCCTTGTAAGAATTGTAGGAATGATAAAATGCTCACTAGGAGTGACGTAAGTTTCCATCTGTCAATCAATGGATTTGATAGCTCTTATGTATTTTGGAGTCATCACGGTGAAGGCGTTCCGGTGATGCAATTAGAGGAAGAGTTTACTGATGTCGACAATCCGACAATTGACACAACTGATATGTTGGAAGATATATATACCGTTCCGTCTTCGAGTGATGTTAACACTACTGATATGTTTCAAGATGTAGCCCGATTGATGAGACTTGTTGAAGAAAACGAGTCACCGTTATACGAGGGTTGCACCGAGTTCACAAGGCTTTTTTTTATGTTGAGGCTTCTTCATATCCAAACACTCAGTGGGATGGCTGTTACACATTTCGATATGTTATTAGACTTGCTCAGGAAAGTCATTCCAGGCGGCGAGAAGAGCATCCCCACAACTTATTATGAAGCTCACAAGATTGTTGATACCCTGGGTCTTGATTACAAAAAGATAGACGCCTGTCCTAATGACTGCATCTTGTACAATAAGGGTAATGAAGGTCTAGAGGAATGTCCGACGTGTCATGTATCACGCTGGAAAAAACATACGGGCACATCTGAAGGCATATGATCCAATAAACAGAGCAGAATCCCTGTGAAGGTTCTCCGATATTTTCCTATTATTCCTAGGCTGCAGAGGTTTTATATGTCTGCCGAGCTGGCTGAGAATATGCGATGGCATTCGACCGATCGTAAAGAGGACGGGAAATTGAGACATCCTGCTGATGGTGAGGCATGGAAGCACATCGATCGTATATACCCTGACTTTGGTAAGGAGTCTCGGAATATTAGGCTGGGGCTTGCTAGCGACGGATTTAATCCGTTTGGAGTAATGAGCTCTGCTTGGTCTACCTGGCCAGTGTTGCTGACACCGTACAACCTGCCGCCGTCGATGTGCATGAAGCAGCCATACATGATACTGTCACTCTTGATCCCTGGAAGATATTCTCCTGGAAATGACATTGATGTTTTCCTCCAACCATTAATTGACGACTTGAAGCTTCTCTGGGATGAAGGCGTCAGCACTTACGATGCTTATGGTAAGGAGGCTTTCCGTATGCGTGCAATGGTCATGTGGACAATTAATGACTTTCCAGCATATGCTAACTTGTCTGGATGGTCGACGAAGGGTCAGATTGCTTGTCCGGTTTGCATGTCAGATTATGAGGGAAAGTTCCTGAAATACAGCCGCAAGTTCTGTTATTGGCAACACAGAAGATGGTTACCTACAGGGCACAAGTTCAGAAAGTTAGTAGGAAAGTTCGACGGCAATCCAGAAAACAGACCGGCACCACCAAGGCTGACCGGGGAAGAAATATTTGAGCTTCTACATCCTCTACCTAAAAAAATATTTGGAAAGAAAAGATTCAACAAAGAAAATCCATTTGGGGTTAGGAGAAAAATATTGAAGCAAAATTGGAAGGGAAGGGGAAAGGGTAAGCAAACAAGGATGGGAAATAAACCTCGCACTGTCCAATCGCATGTGCGTGTCTCTAAGGGTACTGAACTTCCGCATGGATGGTCAAAATTCAGCATATTTTATCAATTGCCATATTGGAGAAGTTTAAAAATACGTCACAACTTGGATGTCATGCACATCGAGAAGAACATATGCGAGAATCTCTTGAACACTTTGTTGCAGGACGGGAAAAAATCAAAAGATGACTTAAGGGCACGTCGAGACCTAGCAGAATTGAACATCCGTCCCGAACTGCAAGCTATAGATAAGGGTGACGGAAAGTTTGTACTCCCAGCCTCCCGTGTCACACTGTCGAAGGATGAGATCCATAATATGTGTTTATTTCTAAAGTCCGTGAAGACACCGGATGGTTATGCTTCAAACATTTCAGCAAATGTGCATATTGAGGACAGGAAAATTTTGGGACTCAAGACACATGACCATCATATTCTATTGCATCAACTTCTCCCGGTTGCGTTGCGAAATGCTGAGAAGGAACTCGCGATGGTGATAATAGAATATTGCGGTTTCTTCAAGCAGTTGTGCTCCAAGGTGATTAATGTCAGGTAGTTTGAAGAATTAGAGGGACGTGTAGCCAATACACTGTGTAAAATTGAAATTCTATTTCCACCCTCGT